CAACTTCACGTAATATACATACGTGGGATGCCTAAATGAAACGGTAGTCAAAGTCACGGCTGACATGTTCATGTAAGAAGTCAAAAGCCGTAATTATTGCGTTAGTTGCAACGGTCCCGAATAAGTTCCATTCCAGTGAGCACTCTCTCAGTTGACACGGAACGCCGAAATGAACTTCTCCCATGTCATAGTTTAGCGAGCAGAGAGCTCGTCAAATACACATGGGAACCGCGATACGTTTACACGAACCGTTATTTTCATGTCCTCGGGAGGCCTGATCTTTCAGACGTATCTTGTCTCGGAAAAAGGGAGGAGGATTTCACGTATTAGATCCTCGTGTTTCTCAGAGATCCGGGGAAAGGAAGTCCCCCGAGCAAAGAGTCACATTGATCGATTACGACGTTCTTCTCACATAGCGAAAGAAAAATGCACCACACATCGACCTTTTATCATCCGGCTTGCTGCAATTTTCATTATCGTTATGCAATTTTCGTATTGTTATAAAATAAACAATATAATTCCGAGTTCGTATAATATAAATGAAGTATAAACAAATTAAATGTTAAAAGTATTACAAGCAAACAATGGGACAGAACTTAATATATTGTAATTTTAGACGAAGATTTAAATATTATCTTTAAAAAAATGTCATATTTAATTTATACATTTGGGAATTAAGTGTCACATTTGCGCGATGACAGGAATATAAAATTTGGAAATATATTAATATGTCGCATTTGTCCGCGATAACAGAAATATGAAACTTGGGAATACATTAATTATTATTATATTAATTATTATATTAATTATTATTATTACATTATATTATTATTAGATTAATTATTACACGATAAAAGAAATATAAAATTATAATTTGTTCGATCGCGTTATTACTTCAAATCCTAATCTTAACATCGAAAAATTATGGTTCTTTTCGTAATAACAAACACGTCCTATAATGCATTTTTATAGGATAAACTCGAGTGTTTAATTTTCTCATACAGTTTGCGATCTGAAAAGTTTACGCGTGTTACAAAATACATAAGAAATCTTGCGCTGTTCGCTCGTGTTGCATTGTGCCTGCATTGCAGTCTCATATATTACAACGAAATTCTAGAGGGACTTGTAACCGTAGATGTAAAAGTGCACAAACAATGTTGTGAGCCCAGAATGCGCGCCATGCGAAAGTACTATTGCGAAAATGAGAAAAAAGTAGTACCGGAAATCTAAAAATATGTAATATATTTTGTATTTTGCTGCACTCTCTCTCTCTCTCTCTCTCTCTCTCTCTCTCTTTCTCTCTGCATTCATGCAAAGAGCAACATGTCTAATTCAGACTTAAGCTGGAAAGCTGCGTGACGCGTGAAATGTTCCCATCAAATTCAATCCTTCATACAGATAATCCTCTATTCCAGTTATGAAATTCCAGACAGCACCATGTCCAAAATTGGGACGTAAGACATCTTAAGTACACCACTAAGACGTCTTTAGGACACCATTTAAGACATCTTTAAGACGTCTTATATCACGATTTTGGACATGCGTGTTATCTGAGATATGTCTTTGCCATATCTCACATTTGGAAAAGTTTTCGATTGGAAAAAAGATAATAATCAACATGCAATATGTGTCGATATAATTCGTCTTTGATTTCTCACGTAAAACGATCAAAATTGTAAAATATTCTTTGCATGCTGGTCTACGTGTTAAGTTTATTCTTGAATATTAAATAAATAGTAGAGAAGAATTGTGCTTCTTGGTCAACAGACCTGAACGATTCTGCTTTTATTATGAAAGAGTGAGAGAAGGAAGGGGGAGAGAAAGAGAGAAAGGGAGTGAGAGGGGGCGTTAGGATTAGGCATAACTTGGTGAGAGAAAGAATCGCTCTTAATTCATTTATTTCCCGCAGGGGAATTGATAAAATATTCCCCGTCTGGCAATAATGGATTATCTGAATGACTGATATCTTTAGACATCGAAAATCGATAGTGCTAACTAATGGCGTTTCCATAATTGAAACTGTACTCCGGACTGTGTTCCGTGACCGACGCTGACTCGAATTTCAAAGTAATATCATAGAAAGCACTTAGTGTCTGTACGGACTTGCCTTCTCGGCAATATGGGTCATGAATATTCACTCGGATGGTCATTGTTATTATACTTGATTCCACTTACAATTGGCCCGTTGCTCGTGTCCCGTTGTACATAACGCGCGCATGTCCGACAATGTATCGCGCGATCCTTTTGTCGCCGATTACAATGGAACGTTACAACCAATGCGGACATTTTGTCCGTGCATCGGTTGTAATGTCCGAAGAATGTATAAGCGCCGAGCCCACGTTAACGAAGCTAAAGTAATATCGATGCGCGCCTTAATTAGCCGCATCTCTCTCGAGCGCTCAAACGCATGCACATACCAATTATGGCCATAATGATCCCATAGAAAGCTAATGTGGCGCGAGCCAAGTTAATTTGTACAGCAGATATCCACCAGATCGGCTGACGTTGACGTGAATATCCTTCGTCATGTGAGAGAGAATTTCGTAAAATATTATGTACATACGTATAACGTTTGCCGAAATGTAAAATAAATTAACGTAAATTTAAAGCGACAGCGCAAAAAAATCTGAAGAAATGCCTGATAATAACTATTACATGTATTTTGTTTTGCGTATTGATGCAATATTTAAGTAAATATTACCGTCATAATAGTTAAATTATTTGATAATAATTATTAAATATTATTAATAATTAGAAAAGTTAAATTAGCGATTGGTTGATTTTCTATTATATTAACTATTAACATCTGATTAAAATTATTTCGCCAAAGTTTTATTAGCTATCTACGCTTGATTATTATTACCAGACCTTTGTTTTAGTGCGCTCTACTAATTTATTAAAAATTTAATTATGTAGGTATCTAGATGTAACAATATTATCGCAAATTAAAAAAAAAGTTTCTCTTAATTATTGATTCACCTGATTCTCCACGGTATTGAATAAACTGATAAAATATAATTAGCAATTTCTGATCGCGAGCTTATGCGCGGCCAGCTCACGTTGGTGCCGCAAATATTCGATCTGTGCGAATTATTGGTAGGGATGCACGTAATCCGGGGCTGCCCGGAGAAACTCATCGACATTATCGTATTTTAATGCATCGCGAATATAATTAATGCTTCTATTTTACATCGTCGCCTCAGATTTTAATTAATTAATGTATCGGTGTGTACAATGTGCGTTATGAGCCGCGTCGAGGATCGATGTAAGCCACGGACGAAAATTAACTGATACACCACACTCCGCGCTGCGCTGCGTAACGGCGGGCCGCGCTCTGCTTTACTTTTAATATAAAATATACCTAGATATTAGAATCCATCTTCTGTAAAATCTAATTTACTTTGCGCAAAATATCAATTTGCTGCGAGCTGTTTCACGTTTCATGTTGTCCCGAATACAAAAATAAAAATATTTTCTTTTTTTTTAGAAAACGTGCTAGAAAAGAGAAAAAGTAAATCCTTCTCTCTTTCTCTTTCTCTCTTTAAAAAAAGCAAGGTAACGCTATTTAGCATAATTAAATGCACGCCCATTTCATCCTTGCAAAACTTGCCATTTTTCTGCCTAGTAAAACTCATACATCATAATGCACGAAAGGGGCAGAAACTGCACTCTCACGTAATCACGGTATTTCAGTTTAGTTGATTTGCTTATAACAGTTGCGCGTTAATTGCTTGCTCTTTCGCGACAGCTCTCTTTCTCTCTTGAAGACCGCGTGCAAAATTTGTCTGTGCAAAATTTCAAAAATAAAATATTGTGTACTTATTTACCGGAAAGATGACATTCTGCACCGAACTGGATAATGCCTATCTCGCGTTTAAGAGGATGATGGGAGGATATCTAGTGACTCGTTCTTTAAAGCGCGAATGTTTGCGGCAGGATAAAAGGATGTTCGCGCAGGATGCGCGCTGCGTGAATAGATAAAAAGCTCCGAGAATTTTCTTTGAAAACATAAAGCGCAAGGTCTCCTCTCTGAGAAGACCTCCCCCCCCACCTCCGCTTGTGCTTGCCTTGTGGAATGCCGTGCACAAACGCATCGGAAACTTTACCTTAGGATGAAGAATGCTGCGTTAGTAAAGCGCAGCGTGTACGACGCGTTTCACGCTTCAAACGGTAATGCGAGCTCTCGCAAAGGGCGCATATTTTTTTGCAACTGATCTTTTACAAACAAAAAGATGGAAAAATATACATATGTACCAGAGTTTTGTTTATTTGTGTCCGTTAATACCCAGCCGTACGAAATAATCCGTCGGCTGCAGGTCTGCATGATCAGCCAGGATACACATATGAAAACTGCCATGCAAAACCACACGGGACACGTGTTGCCGCGGTGCGCGCAATTCTGATCTACACAAGTTTGCGATCGTCATGTCAGCTAAAAATAAAATTGTGATAAGGGTTTGCATAGTTAATGCCTTTGTAAAAGCTATCGTACGAATAAAATCCCCGGGTAAAGCCGGGGAGGGAAACACACAATTCTGTCGTAGAGAATAGAGACCGGCTAGTATCTAGGCTTTTTGCATTATGCGGATATTTACGGGGCAGTTTAATGAAATCTGTGTGCGTGTGTGTGTGTGTATGTGTGCGGATGGGTTTCCGGATTTGTACGGTGCGCATAAATAGCGGAGAGAGCGCGCGGGTATAAATTGAATCTCCCCGACCGGAGAGGCGGAGAAGCGCGCATATAGGGAGAACTCTCCTCGTTTTGCCTCTTTCTCTCTCTCTCTCTCTCTCTCTCTCGACGCCGTCGATTTGCTTGCACATTTTTCATATACGTGCACAATGCGCAAATCGAGTAATCGGTGAAGGGAGCCTACCCGGGAGCGCTTTTTTGTTAGCCGCCGCGTCGTCATCGTCGTCGTCGTGTCGTCCTCGTCGTCGCGGTTGTCGCGCATTGCCGTGCATCGGAGATAACTCAATTTTTTATCGTTCCTCTGTTGCAGCACTGTTTCGCGATATCGTACAGGAGGGAGAACCAACGGCAATACGAGCTAAAAGCGGCCACAGAGACGGACTGCAAAGCGTGGATCGATGCGATACGAGAAGCTAGGTAAACGACGGCTCGCGCGTCCCGAATCGAAGATCTCGGGGGCCGATTAAAAACGGACGGACAGACGCGCGCGCCGTGCCGCCTTGGCTCGCGGAGATCGCGTAATCATCATAAATCACCACGATCATTCCCCCCCCCCCTCTCCCTCGATGACTGGGCGGTAGCTGGCGGTAGCCAGACTGCGCCCGAATGTTTCGAATTCTCCAATTAGATTCGCCGCCGTCGGCTTCGGTCACCAGTCCTGCGGAGATTAATTTCATCGGTGGGACAAAAAAAGAGCCTCGCTATTGTCCGTTTCACTGCGCGCCGGAGCTATTGAATTGCATCGAATCGATTTCGACATCCATGAACTTGCCTGTTTCCTTTTTTGAGAAAATTAAACAGCGGTATGATCAATAAAGCTCCATGGCTTCGTTAAATGTTTTTTTTCTCCGATTTAAGTCAATTATGCACGTGGGGCAGCAATACTCGATATTCGTTACCGACACTCGAGCTGGCAGGCGCGGAAATCAAAATGATACCCGATAATAACGTACGCGACATGAAAGCTTCATTTATTCGGCTGAATAAACAATTTGTATAATTTTTCGGTATATTGCGCCGCGCGAGGAAAACAAATTTTTCATTCATTATTACGGCTTCGCTCCTTGGAGGTGCTTCTTTGTTCCGCGTGTTTAATAAGTCTTCTGTTTTTAATAAAACGGCCTCAAAGAGTAATCTTAGATCTCCACGATCGGAGATTTACGGGCATTTACTTTACGGAGCAAAAAGGAGGAATGCGCGAGCTAACGGAATAATCCCGCAATGGACAATACTTGATTCGCGGCGTGATAATTAAGTTTGCTCGCCAACATCGCTCCGTTTTATCCACTTTGCCGTAGCACTCGTGGTCTATTATTCAAGGGGCCTCCCTTAATCTCGTTGATGCGCTGATAAATACGTTTACCGGGCACCGCATTAACATCGAGCCGTCTCAGCCACCACCTCTCTATTAATCCCGGTGCCGTAATTTGTGCACATTAACGCCGAAGTAATCTTCATCATGCTATCAAACGCGTCTTATGGGCCAGAGGGCGAAACTAGCAGTAACAGCTGGTTATTGCGGAAACACCCGGCGGAAGAGAGGATTGTACGCGCGAGGTTACGATGCCAATATTACAAATCTATTTCACCCGTTAATGGAATTCGCTTCCGAACGATTCCCGCGAAAATAAAAATGGCTATTTAATGAAAGCTTCCATCTCTCTATCCATCTCGTGTATTTCATTCCTTTACGAGATAAAAGGCTTCATGGATATTTTTCGTTTGTTAACAATTTTGCAGCCAGATGTAAACGAACAATTTTTTTTGCCGACAGCTTCTCTGTCGCAGATGCTTCTCTTACGTGATCATTCCGCTGATGTCCGCAGATGCGTCAAACGTCGTTCTAATGTCGCGCGTCATGCCACGCGCGTGATGCTATTACGTGAGAAAAAATAGCAGTCGCAGATCCGCGTTTTCATCTGGCGTTTCTTAGTATTATCCGAGAAAAATAAGAGTTGCACGTTTATCCCGACTTTAAAACGGATTCGCACATCATCTTCGCATTTTTTTCAAATATCTCTTATTCGTCCAATTACTCAAAGTACTATTTTTTTAATGCAGTTTGCATAAATTAGAAAATTTATATCAATGCACGCAGAAATATTATTGAGCGTCAACACCACGCTTTGACCGAATAAGCTCTTTTCGTGTTATTTAATCATATTGATCTTTGTTTACTTATTATTATTGTTACTATTTTTTAATTAAACGGCAACTGTTTTGAATTCATCTAAATATTTTTTTTTGAGCTTAAAAAAAATAATTACAGATTGCTCTTGCATTGTTCTTGAATTCAGATCCGTAAAACTCGCAATGCAAGTCAAAATCATATTTATTCTCCTATAAGCACTGACGTTCATATAAGTAATACAATATCTTTCATACGGACGCAAAAGTATTTCATTTCCTTTAAACATTTCGCTGCATGTATGAGAAAGTTATTATCCCTCTTCCTCGTAGTCCTCGTTTCCACGGACCGACTTATATGTACACGTTTGCATCCCGGCGGAACGGCTGCCTTCTCAGATTACTGCTACTCTGCACCGTAATATGCATAGATAATGATATCCGCGTTACTTTAGCAATTCCGCCGTGTGCCCCCGCTCGAAAATACAGGGTTGGGATACTTCTTCGAGTATCTCGTGTCACGCGAGAGAGGGTATATATACGATCGATATTCCCGTGATAACTTTTTCATGCAACGTGGACCACGCTCGAGTGCTTGTTTTGCGTAGACCCCCACAGGCCGAAGGAGCTTCTCAAAACACCTCGGGGGGTGCGGACGATGAGCTCGTGCTATGTACTTACACCCGGCTCATGGATATGCATGTAGAAGCAACTCAATCAAAATTTCAGTAAGATTAGAAGGGAAGTCCTTTACGTTTTGTGTGGCGAGGGAGACACTACGGCATGTGCTTGCGCTCGAGAATTCTAAATTTGCGAAAACAGATTCAAGGCGATTCTATGTATATTTTATAGTAAACGTCCAATAAAAACAGGGCGTATTTTACGATGATAAAGTGCACCTCGCTGCAGTGCCTATATTGCTTATAAGAAATATATTACACTTCAAAAACAGTGCATAAAAACAAAGGTAATCGTTTTACATAGCTTTTTTGGACCCCGAATATAATTCCGTTTTTAAAATAGCAATCTCACGGTTTTGAGACATTTATGATTAAAGTTGCAAAAAGGAGAACTTTTACATTTATATTTTGGCATATTAAAACTACGGTATGTGATGTGGAGAAGTTTTATTGCAATCATGATTATATAAATATGTTGTACAAGACATTTCAGCTCGTAAGAGGAATTTAAAACAGTTTGATAAACGATATCGTATTTCCGCGCCCAAAAACCTACGAGAAATGATTACCCTCCTTTTTATGCTCGAAAAAAGTAACTTTTGTGGAATAGTGTTGTAGTTCATATTATAATTTTGCAACGATATTTAGCATGAAAAAGATATGCACGTGGAGTATCATCTTTCGCGACACGTTCCTCTCCGGGGAAAGATACTTTACGTCTTGCTTCGTGTTTCATCATTCGTATCACTTTACTTGCAGAACCGCGGCTAAGTTCGGAACCTCACACCCTCTTTTTCGCCCGGATTATGCCAATAAGATGTAAATGTCAGATATCGTCAGTTACACGAGGTAACGAGGGAGATCTTGAGAGAGAACTCAATTGATCGTTCGGCATCGGGAATTTTGGTAGTTTAATCGAAATAATTTGTTTAAAGATGCGTGCCAACGTTAAACACACACAAAGTATAAATTTAATAATTAAAGTATAAATTTATAATTTAAAGTATAAGCTTTTTTTACCTGTGGAATTTTTTAATAATTTGCGGTAATTTCTTGCTCTAAAAAAAATTCAAATCTGGGATAAAAATTGTATAAAACAGTATAAAAATGGAGAATCAAAACTGCGTATGCGTGAGAATTTTGTTTTGCTGGTTTTCAAGTCGTTAAAAAATATTCTGAAATTCCGTTTCTCATTCGCCACGTGACCGCGGAAAAACCCGTAATTTCGTTTTCGCACACAAAATCCCCGGAATGTGCACTCCATGCATTTTTCCAGAGACCACGTACGCGCGGCTAAATGTTTTATTTTCCTTTGTATCACGGTTCTCTTCCGCTCGAATAACACTTTTAAGCGCGGCGCACGAGCCAAGTCTAACTCGGCATCCTTTTTCTTGGGGGTGGAATATTGATTCTAGCTTCAACAAATTGTTGCTACAAAAGGAGGAGCTAGAGCAGAAGCACCTGCACCTGTTGCAAATAGTCGAGAGCGAGAAAACGGCCAAGTGGCAGTACACCCAGCAATGCGAGGAACTGGCGTCGGAAATAAAAAAGCTCCGAGCGGAGGTTAGTCATATCAGCCCGTGTTATATATTTATCTACCTCATGATATTTTTCTCCGGTAATTCTCTGTTTTGCCTGCTGCGTGTATTTTTATTTCAACTACTGTGATTACATTTCCCTATGTATAACCAGTAGAATCATTTTGAAAAGAATTCTAATAGAATACAGATATATCAGTTTTTGAAAAATCTTCTGTACCGTACGAGGAATCCTACATACATTATTTTTATTTTACTGATATTAATGCTCGAAAAAATTACAAAGCAAACGCGGATAAAATTTTCATGATATTCTTTTGTAAAATAATCGAAAAATATTTTATGTTTTACATAATTTTATATATACAATATTACTATCTTTTTAAAGTTTTGTTCTCGCAAATAGAAAATGTCATGAAAATTAATTAAATTGTCTGCCGTATATATTTCGCGATTTGATTTTATTTTCTACATGGGAAGAACAATTTTATTAAAGCATTAAAAAATTTAAAAAAATAGATACAGATCTGAAAATAATTTTGTTATCAAAATAATTATGCAGGATGCTTTCAAGTAATGAGCAATGCTAGAAACAAGTTTTAACATTCTGATACCAGCTTAGCGTCCTACTTAATTATTCTGGTCCAACAGAATTATTTTCATATCTATATCCAGTTAAATTTTTAGATGCTGCAGCAAAATCGTCCTTCTGCGTTCTTTCTGATAATAAATATTGAAACAATTTCCGGAGTATTCCTGAAATTAAAATTAAACTTCGCGTTTACAAGTAGCGCCATTATAGTCTTTAACCCTCTCGTTAATTTTATCGGATATCTAATTTCGATAATTAAGGCAATATCAAAGCTAATGAAATTATTACGCTGTGAGAGAAGAACTGATAATATTTTATTCAAGCACTCGTTCAACATTTAATCCAAACTCCGTTTGAGCAGTTGCCCACTTGGTTTATTCAAGAAATGTAAGAAGATGTTTGCTCCCTGGGATTATTTTCTCTATGAGATTACCAGATTTCGCGTTTGGTGGTTCTCGTTACAGCTGTGCGCCCTGAAAAAGGAGCTAAGGCCTTCCGTAATTCCGATATACAGTGCAAGCCGACCGGCGGTTCAAAGAACCATGTCCCAGGGTACCGGAAGCTTATACAGCACATTCCATTCACACGGCGGCGGCATTTACTGTACCGGCGGCTTCGCTCCGGGATTACGCGAAATCACGGAGGGCTCCATTGAAATGCAGAAGGTCAAGAAGGTCCAGAGCTTCTTCAGGGGCTGGCTGTGCCGGCGACGTTGGAAGCAGATTGTTGAACAGTACATCAAGAGTCCGCACGCCGAGAGCATGCGCAAGCGAAACAGGTAGGTAATTGTCGCTACCTCGTCGCCTCGCACCAACCGATGGACGTCCAGCGCTGGTTCGCTGGGCACTTCGCTTTTCCATTAACGGTCTGTCGTACCGCGGCGAGTTTCACAGTTACGTTTCACGCGGCCGTTGTGGAAATAAACGCCATAAGCGTGGTGAAATTGCAAATGCAACTTTCCGGAAAAAAGGCTGAAAAAATGGAGCTGTCGCCAGCTTTTTATTTTTATTAAATAAAATTATATGCTTCGCCTGCGCTGCATATAATAACTTCGGTAATAACACTATATTTTTATTCCGCGCGGCGGAATGAAATTTATCATTGTTCTCCCGTCCGCCGAGAGATTTTCTCTCTTAATCAGCCGTTCCCATATTTCCTCATATTTCATTCATTTACGATATAACAACGATGTAAAAGCGACGGTTATTGGCTTCGTTTAATTTGTGCTATCGACGGTATTGAACGCACGTGTCCTACTATTTCCAGCCTGGTATTCCAAATGGTGGAGGCCGAGGAGGAGTACACGGAGCAGATGGAGATTTTAGTAAGCTGTTTTCTGAGGCCTTTCAAGATGGCTGCCAGTTCAAAGAAACCCCCATGTAGTCACGAGGACGTGAATAGCATATTTTTGAATAGCGAAACCGTGCTGTTCCTCCATCAGATCTTCCTGAAGGGTCTCACCTCGCGTATGGAGAGCTGGCCCACTCTAGTTTTAGGTACGGATCAAAACTACTTTAAGTAATACACATCGATTTATCAGACGAATCTGTGCACTGAGAGAAAAAAATGGTTTACAGTTAATAAAATTTAACTGACGACTAAAAAATGTAAGACTAATAAACGAGTAAAAATTAGAGTGAATTGCAAAATTTTTATTCCAATGAGTGATAATGAAATGGAACGTTTCGGATGAAGATGGCTTACTAAGCTTACTTAGCAAAAATAAATTACATAATCTAAAAATAATGTAGGCTAATACCAATTACATAAAGAAGATACATCAAGCTTTTGTACTTTTCAAATAGTCTGTACTTATTAAACAATGTTGAATATAGTTTGGTTTTGTCACATTAATAAAGTAGACCATAGCGGATTTGTCATTTCCATAAGAGAAAGGGCTGAATCCAAGAGTAAAAATTAGTTTAACGGACTAATATAAGTGAAAATCAATTCCAAATATTCTATTATATTGGAGACGAGTGATAAATTATCACAAATGTTAAATTATAGCATACAAACTGTAACTATTGAAAATTACAAAACTTACAGAAAATCACAGTGTCAGTATAGAAGCGCATATATTTTACCATCAAATTCAATTCGTTAACTATAACGTATAGCCATTTTCGGTGCCAACTATATAATTTGTTGGTAACTATGAATATAATTATTGTTGGTAACTATAAACTATAATATAATTATTATTACATTATAGCGCAATAATAGCTATAAAAATGGAGCCATTGACCATAATTATTTTACCAATACAATTATAGTTACAACCAAACACTTTTCTCTCAGTGTGTATCCCTAATGTGCTCGAAGCGAATCAAAGAGAAATGCCAAGAAGTTTCGCAATCCCAAGTATCTATTTCCCTTTCTCCCTAACGATATTAATTTATTCGATACGTTACATATCTTGTAAGAGAATATCGTACTGTACATCAGTCATTCATGGCGCATGTCGTAAATGTATACAGGTGACTTGTTTGACATGCTGCTACCGATGTTATCCATATATCAAGAGTACGTGCGAAACCACCACTATAGCCTTCAAGTGTTGACTGAATGCAAGCAATCGTCACCGTTCGTGGCGTTGCTCAATAGGTTGGAGAACAAGACTGCCTGCCACGGACGATCCCTGGAGACCTTTCTAACATATCCCATGCATCAGGTAAGATTGCTACGCGCGAGTAAAATTGATGTAATTCTCGTATGTAAAACATCAAAGCCCGATACAAATGTTTCGGAAAATTCAATGATATCGCTTTATATTACTATCGCTAACAGAGGAGGGAGAAATATCGTCGGGAAATGCTTTTAAAGCGACATTAATTTTCGCGCGCGCTGTTCTTCTTGCAAGAGAGCAAATTCCCCGCGTGAAAAAAAAGATAGAGAAATAGAACGATTATCTCGAATGACGCTCCTAGAGAATGATCGATTATACGAAATAGTTTGAAGGCTTCCATGAATATTGCATGAGATCTGACGATCTTGTAAAATGAACGGAGTCGACGCGGAGAAAATATACATTCCATCGTGCCCTTCCGTGAATTCCGCGGAACGCGGGAAATTCTTTCTGAATTTATTGACGAAATTTATATCTGATTTAAATATAACGAGACCTTTTTACTACAATTTACGTTATTCTCTGCACAGAAAGTTAATACCGGAAGATATAGTGATTACATATTGTGAATAATAAAAGTATTGAACAAGAGTGTTTCTAATACTCAAAATAAGTAATTTTCAGTATTAAATTGAATTTCTGTGAGGGTAGGCTACTAATTGACTTTCGACAACTGATTTGTATCTCTGGTCTCGGAATAATAAACTTTAAAATCTGCTTGACAAGCTTTGCGCCATGATTACTCTCTCCTAATTTTTTCTTTTATTTTTTTCTCTGGTTTTAGTAGAACTTGAGCAGAAGTTCCTTAATCCAGCTACATTACTTTATTTGTTTAGGTTCCAAGATATATAATTACTTTGCACGAGTTATTGGCGCATACGCCGTATGATCATGTGGAACGTAAGAGCCTCCAGAATGCCAGGCAACAGCTGGAGGACCTCTCGAGGCAAATGCACGACGAGGTATTTGCCAATTAATCCTATATATAATCATCATTAATCTGTATCATCATTAATTATCTATCAATTTGGCTCTAATATTAATCGAATATGTCCCTTTCTTTCAGGTCAGCGAGACTGAAAATCTGAGAAAGAATCTAGCAGTGGAGAGAATGATTGTTGAAGGATGCGATATTTTACTGGATGTCAATCAGGTCTTCGTCAGACAGGGTGAGTGCATCAAAGTTCTCTCTTATAATTTTTTATTTATTTTATTATAAATATACTTCGGATCTTTATCTTTTGAAGTAATAGTTCTAAGTAAAGTAAACTTACTTTAAGTATAAGAATTAAAAAAAAATAAAGGTTCAACTGATAAATTTAAATAAAATAAATTAAAAAATGCTAAGTTTTTTAGCTAATAATATTTAAATTTTGCCTACTAAATATCGCAACAAATTCACGCAAGAATTGAGAAGTTAAAATTATTTCGCGTTCTAAGGAAAACGTCCTATCGTTTTTCATTTTAATCATCTTTAAGTAAAATTTAATAAGCTACACCCATAACAGAAATTATTACGTTTCGTTCACATAAATGAACATACACATGAAATATTATGTTTGTATATAGAAAGAAATCAAAGGTTAAAAAACTTAACGTACTTTGCCGAAGTCGATAAGACCGAGGCTGCCGGATAACTCATGTATTTTTTACGGCTTATCTTTGGCTGGGAAACTCATTTCTAGACTTGATCGCCGTCGGTAAAACTCGACGACGGTTCACCCCGTCGTAAGGGATGAAGCGCGCGGGTCAAAGGGCGCAAACGCACGGTTACACGTTTGGAATCGATGACGCGACTCGGTCGCGTCGATATATTTTCGTACTCGGGTTCATCTCGATCCTGCGCAATGTATCCTGTCAGGGCCGACGTATTGTTCTACCACTGGAGGGTTTTCGTCAGGCAAAATTCTTCCGCCAGTCGATTACGCGATTTGATAACGAATTGCGACACAGTGGCACGCAAGCGGAATGTCAAGCACGCGGTGCTGTAGGAATTGTAACTTCATTAATTTAATTGTTTCAAATTCGGTCGGAATGAAGCTCTTCTGACGTTTAGTCGTGACTTTAGATGCTAAAGAATGTTCAAAATTTAATATAATAGTAATTCAAATCTTAGATACCATTAAGAATATTAAATATTAATCTGAGTATTGAAATGAGATGCTTAAAATTAAAATTAAAATTATATTTGCAAGAAATTGTACATATATTAAAAAATTATTTATTATTTTTAAAAAAGGGAGAATATAAAATGAAAAGTATGACTAAAATATCGCATTTTGTAATGAAATGCCGCGTTAATTCCTAAAAGTTGCAAATGATAAAGTAGTACAAGATCATTTCAAGTAGTAAAGTCAGGTAGGTAAGTCTCTTGTAAGCTGGCCTTATAAACACGATCCTGGCAACCCTCGTGCTTGACGCCACATCACATGGCTATCACGTAAACGTCTCTCGGCCGCCGACGGTAGAGCGGACCATCCCGCGAGCGTGATCATCCCTCGTTCACCTTTCGTTGCGGCAAAAAAAAAGAATCAATCGGTGCGAACGTCACAGCACTTCGTTCTCGTCGTGCGGGGAATACTCAGCGGACCTAGAGGTCGATGAACACACACGAAGGAACGAAAACAAGCGGCGATCAATCCGCGGCATTTGCCATTTTGTCGGTCCATCGGTCCGGTATAAGTGGACACAAGAAGCACGGGGGTTACGCGAGTTCATTAATGTAGCCTCGACAAAACTAGGAGACCAAGCAATGTGTGTGTGTGTGTGTATGTGTGTGTGTGTGTGTATGTGTGAGATGCTGGTAATAGGGACCAAAGATAATCGGGAGTCTAAGAATCAGCTGTAGCTTTTCGTCTGGGTGTGTATAAATAAGGTACACGCGTTGCTCGATGATGTTGGAAGGAAATCTCGGTTAAGGATTTAAGAAAAAAATAATAAATAACAAATCCTGCACGAGAAAGCTAGATGCGTTAGTTGATATCTGCAGACAACCGTGAAATTGTTTTCTTCAAAAAGATTTATTCTAAGGTTTTGATTTCGTTTGATTTACCTGAATTGAAACATAAATATTCAACTCCCTTTCTGAATAAGAAAAAAAAACGTGAAGGATATTTAATCTTGATTGATTTAGTTGGATGTTAAACGAACTCTCATATTTTTATTTTATTTTCTAAAAGCCTCATGTATCGAAACCTGTCTGATCTTATCTTTGGCTTTTTCCACTTCAGAGAAAGATTAATCTAATATTCTAATGAAAGAAGCCGGCAAAATCACGGCGAGTTCAAATTTCGGTTTACAGCTTCAAAAGTATGTAAATATCTTGCATTATACATTGGGAATATTCAGTACGTCGAAAACTGAACTCCACGGTATAAATTTCAATTTCTGTATGACGTCAGCAGCGCGGGCACGATACTGCGTATTTCGTATTCACCGCGGCAACACGTCCGTCGTGCTATTTTTAAATGCGCATCGGCGGCTTCCCCTAATTGTATCGATTATTTCAAGGAGGCTCGCCGGTGCCGGAGCCGACACGTCAGTAAGATGAAATTATTTTTGCCATGCGTTATTTTCCCCCGACGATGTTAATAATAATCGTGTAAACGCGAACGGTCATGAATGACTTTTCGTAAATCTGATGGCCTACCGGCTTTTTGCAGGTACACTCATACAGCTCGTAGATAAACCGCGCGGTGCGCGAAGCAGATTGAGCGCTACTTTCGGCGGCAAAGCCGCAAGCGAGGCCGTCAGACAATGCTTTCTCTTCTCGAATCATCTGTTGCTCACCACGCGACAGTCTGACGACGATGGCCGCCTGAATCTGGTCCCGCAGATCGGCAAGATACCCCTCTCCGACGCGGTGCTGATTGAAGATCCGAGCGATCAGAGTGCCGTAGACGATGATGGTAATTATTCGTTCATTAATAATCTAATGACTTGATTTTTACGGCTTTCTAACTTTAAGATCTCTATAAATCGGCGAGGCAAGAATTTTTTGTTTAATTAAGAACTGATGTTAAGTTATCGATAGATTAAAATTGTGATTTGAAAAAATCATGCACGGCAGCAATCACTTAAATTATTTTGTATATAACGTAACTTTCTTCTTATTTTATATGCTATATTTATATGCAATTTAATGTATTTTTTTTTACATAAAGGTCGTATGTTGCGAGTTGCAAATGATAGAGATTGAAAATTTATTCAGTGCTACAAAGTGGCGACTGTGAACTAATTTTAGGACTGTCAGTATGTTCGATGTCAAGCGGCATTAGCGAAAGCAGCGGAAGCGGTAGCGGCAGCGGAACTTCCCAGTTGCAGAATCGCGACTTCAAGATTATACTCGATATAAAATCCGGTGGCCCGCAGGTGACCGTCCTTCTCGTGGCGCCTACTATACAAGTAAGGGCACATTGAATAATTTTCTATTTATACGTGCATGCTTATATATATGCGTACGTGCATAAATAAGAAATTTTTTTTCAATAAGAAACGAGAGTGTAAATATTGCCTGTACACAGTATTTAAGTATACACTCCATAAATCAGTAAAGCGTTACACTTTAAAGCTATACGTTTTCAGTTCGTATTTTCGAACTGTAAAAGAAATGAAAATAATAGAGTTACAAAATTTACAAACTTTCACTTTTGTTGTACACGCGTTACAATACGACAAAATTTTTTGCAGGAAAAAGCAGCGTGGGTCAGCGACATAAGTCAATGTATGGACAACGTTCACTTTAACGATCTGCTCCACGGATCGCTGTCGGACACCAGCTCCGTCACGATGCCGCAGTCCATCCGGAACGATCCGAAGCTGTTCAAGGACGACGTGGACATCAGGTTCAGCCGCACTTTGAACTCCTGCAAGATACCGCAGATCCGTTCCGCAACGCCCGAGCGGCTGTTGCAGCGGCTGACCGACCTCAGGTTCCTCAGTATCGATTTTCTCAACACATTCCTGCTGACGTACCGAGTGTTCACCGATGGCGTCACCGTGCTGGAGGCCCTCAAGAAGGTTTTCTACGAAGCCGAGCCACCGGACGCGCAAATGCCCACCGGATCTCTCGTGTAAGTATGAAGATAACGAGCGATAATTATAAGCTCAAAGTACAAATTTTAACTTTAAGAATTGAATGGAATGATAATAATTGATCTATCACGAAACTTGATATATTATATAATAAAGAAGTTTTTCGTGAATGTTATTATAATCGCTACTTCTTCTCCGCTAGAAAATTATTTCTACACATATTTTTGATACGCTTGAATAATATTTTTTTATGTTTTAGATCCTTAGACGTATTAGGAGCAAATGCAATCGAAACACAATCGTATTCCGAGGACCGAAGAAAAAGTGGCTTTTCACCGAGACGGACTAGCGGCGCAAGCTCAGTATCAGGTGCATACATTCAGTTTCTTTTCAACAAAATTCAATCAACAATTAATGATATATTACTAGTACGATACAAAATAGTTGTAGTGTAGTTTTTAAATATTAATAGCATCTTGCTTTACACATAGGATATGGATCGGAAGTAAGCGATACTCGCGACGCGAAATCCCATGGAACCTGTGACGCTAATATGGGTGGATATAATTCGAAAAGTCACTGGCGATCCGGTTATAAGAAGAGTGAGTATCTCTAGCACGTATCGTGTTTCACAACAAAATATTATCTAATGAAATTTAATTAAAAACGAAAATTAATTGTAAAAATTCTTGAATAATCCGTGTAAATATAGTGAAACGTAAAATTGTATCAAAGTGAGATAAAAAATTTTTCATGTTTAGTGGAGGACGAGCACTCGCTCGGACTTATCACCGAGGCCCCGGTCATAAAACGCAGTCCAACATCCAGTCCATCCAGCTCGCACTCTCCGAACATGCAGCGAAAAATTAGCATTCGCGTGGATAATCAGGACATCGAGAACGACGGATGCCATTTAACGATACCGAAAGTAATAGCCGTGTCGTCCAGTTCCGAGACACTCACAGGTATGACCACGGATTGATATGCAAGCTTTCAAGGCCAAAAAATTTGAATTAAATGTAAAAAAATTAATATTAATTTATTGTTAAATTTAAATGTAATGTCGATTTAAATTCTAATATTTAGAGACAAAAAAAGATGAGATTTCTTTCAATATTTTCATATTGTGTGACTTTAAAGAATAATTAGGACAAGAGTTATTATAGGCAAAAGTTAATTTGAAATTTTATACATATATTTTATTATTCTCTTATTTGATAAAGTTGTAATATACTGCTGATATGTAAAACAAATTTGGAATATAAGACGTTACAGCAATCAGCGCACCATCTTCACCGAGCAACTTGAGCTCTGTGACACTAGTCGGTTCGATGGAATCCGGATCAGGATCCGGATCTGGATCGGATCCTGGTCCCCAAGACGGAGGTATTTATTCACGTCGTGTCTCGGAAATCGACACACCTGGTACGGCAGAAGGAGATTCAAAAGGTATAACTGAATTTCATAAAATATTAGTCCGCGTAAGAAAAAAGAAAGAAGTTCGCCTTTGGAAAAAAAATTCTTCAATTAGATGTGAACTAATTATGATATGATTGTGTTTTTCTCTAATTAAATATCTAAATAATTAAATTTTATCTATAATACACACGAAATAAATTATAGCAGTACAGTTTACTTATGACGACATATCGCCACCATCGCAATCGACCGAGTCTGTCAAGTCGGACACGCCGAAAACGCCGAAAACACCGAAAACACCGAAAACGCCAAAAACGCCAAAAACACCGGACACTCCGAAAACACCGAAAACGCCAGATACTCCGCATACGCCGAAAACGCCGAAGACACCGAAGACACCGAAAACACCGGACACGCCGAAAACGCCGGAGACGCCGAGAACACCGAAAACACCGAAAACGCCTGTCTCTCCACTGAGGAAGGAAATCAAGGAGAATAAGGATGATCAAAGTACGTCGACTGACGACGAGAGTATAACTTCTCCTAAACCAGGCGGTCAATCGGTACAGCAACTGTATTCGGAGCACAGGGCATCGATTGCTTCCGCACCTGCAGCCACCGGGCCGAGGAGCGGTTCGGTCTCCACCATAACTGGCGTAAGTGTAAATAACAAAATGTGAAAGTTTCTTTAAACACTTTAGTAAAGAAATTTAAAGTAAACAGAAATAAAATTTTCCTTTGATTATTGAATATTAATTAAGGATTTTCAAGATCATAACTTAGATAGGTTAAATAGAGATACAGTAATCATGTTGGCTAAATTTTCTTCTCTCCAAAAACAGCTAAATAGATTAGCTAAGAGTAAAGATTCTATTAAATTTAAATGTCTATTAAGACCAGTCACATGTCGAGATAAATTTATATAATAATCAAAACTGTATGATTTAAGGGACGTTTTTAATTTCTCTATAAATTTTTAGAATTATTGGGTAAGCAGACGGTCGATGCATGACGAAATCTCGTCGCAGCAGAGCAGCTATCACGACACTCAGGTTTCCAGCAAAGCCGGCGTGGTAATAACCAGCTTCCGGCAGAGTCATCGAAGGTTCGTTTTTTACAGTCTTATTACATGCTACCTGCATTTTATCGTGTCTCTAAAACTTTTCGAAGGCATTCGTATCGATGAAAATTATCTCTATTTCGTTTCTTGTTTCGCTGAATGTTGAGTGCCGTAAATGGCAATCTTCGCCTTTTAACGCATGAGAGCTTCTTCTCGATATCATGTTTCTTCATTTATCAGAGTTATTAAAATCATTCTTAGAGGGAGAAAATTGGTGATGAGGAGAGAATTTCAGAGAGAAATTATAATGTCGTATAGATTGTCGACGTTTTTTGATAGTTTAGTCCGTAAGATAGTAGATAATTTAGAGTTAATATACAATTTCCTCCGCTCTGCAAAAATTTATTTTTAAAAATCTAATAATATATAATGTCAAAATTTTTAGTTACATTTGAAATTGTCTTTTTGTTTATATTGGAAGAGTTGTAAATATATTGTAAATACGTTGCAATTTTTATGCCTGTATTATGAAAATTGTTTTATAAATAATTTAAAACTCATTTTAATACCTTATATGCTTTTGCTTAATTTGTTAATATTTTAATGTTTATTTTTTTTATAATCAATAAATAACATGTTTATAATAATTACAAAATGCAAAAAATTATCACCCAATTCAAAATTTTTGCTTCACTTTTACTCCTGATAAATTACATTTTTATCATCGTCTTGGAGATCAAACTAAAATGAAAATCCTTAGATCAGATGAAGATACTCCCGCTGCTGTTTCTACTCAACCGTGTTTCATGTATTGTTTTGTGTCATTCATAGCATTGGACCTGAACCTATCTGGTAAGTGGGCTCATTTTGAAAAGCGTCATTATCCACTTATTACGTGTAGCATGGCTGCAATCTTCCTGCTTGCGGCATTCATTAAAAAAAAAAAAAAAAACAAAGCCTGAAACAAAGCCTGTCTTATGCTCTATTCTATTCTATCATTATAGATCTATGGCTTGTCGAAATTCTATTGTTAGTTTAGTCCGGTTAATTATCTGATTACGAAAATTAACCGCGTAATGTAATCCTAAATTCTTTTTTCTCTCTCTCTCTCTCTCTCTTTCTCTCTCTCTCTGCTTGCTATTAACTGCGCCGCTTAATTGCTCACACACGATGACTTAATTCACCCAATCTATTTCCTCATCGTTTAGAGAATGCACGCATAGCGAACGAGAGAATGGACCAAACGAAATAGAAATAGTTTTTACCCGATAGCCGCTTTGTGCCATTTGCGTGCTTATAGCGCTGGATATTCCAAAGAACGATTGAAACTGGCAATAATTCTGGTGAATTCATATCTCGATGCTATTGAGATCTATTTCTATTTACTTGTTTAATGTTTATATTAAAAAACTTATTACATGATACAATATAGTTAAGTATTACAGAAAGAAATAAAAAAATTTACAATCAAATTTTTACTCGTATCGTTTCTTCAGCACAGTCATGACTTTAAATATGCATTATACATATTTCATATACATATATTGTATATATATATATATATATATATATATATATATATATGTAAAATATCGAAACTTGAACTCGCCGAAACTATGCCAGTTCCAATCCTCTAAATATATATGTATTTTGTAGCGACACAATAATAAAAACAGCAAATCTACACCGAATCTGAAGTATCTACACCGCTGACTTGTCGACATCAAAACTTCTTTTGCAAAATCAAGATGCACATTAGACTCTATTCGCTTGAATTATTCACGATGCTTATTACATGATATAATACAGTATATATACTATTTAAAGAAAAATCACCGGATCTTTCCTTGTGCCGTTCCTCCAGCACAGTAGCATGCCTAATAAAATTACATCGCGACCGTATCTGACCGGCAGATTGAAGTAGAAATTCGTCTAATGTAGAGCGTAGAGCGAACGCATAGACAAGTCGAGACGAAGAAAGGGGTCAAGATTTGATGACTAAGACTCCTATTTTTATTTTGACGAATATAATCGTCGATATTTCGTCGATACTAAAATCGATTTTGAATGTCAGGAGCAGCACGTCCACGGCGGCGACCGCGTTCGCCATCGCAACTTCCGCTTCGAGCAATCCACCAGACAAGGGACCCGCCACCGACACTCGTGGCTGCCGGGATAAGAACAGGCGGAAGGAGTCGGTGATGTCGACCGCCGCGACGATGCGGGTGCTGAACGTCCTGAGGCACTGGGTGTCCAAGCACGCCCAGGACTTCGAGATGGATCAAAAATTAAAGAACATGACCATCGAGTTCCTGGAGGATATCAATTACAGTCCCAATCTGCTACCGGCCGAACACAAGGCGGCCACACAACTTCTACGATTAATTACCAAGGAGGAAAGTGAGAGCAACAAGGTCGATCTCAAGAAATTACTGACTCCGCCCTCAGTAAGTGACGAGATAATCTATTTCTTCAATTATCAACTGATTAATACGTTGAATACCAAATCTAATTTGTCTCTTCGGCGACGCAATTAAATTTTTACATCCACATCTCGATAAAATATTATACAATACAATTGAATTGTGCAAAATTATGCACAATACATTCATTACTTTAGATTTCAATATTAATTATATTAATTTAATTATAAATATCATTTTGTATGAGCTTTACACATGTTTCGAGTTTTGATAGCGTTGATTAATTTCCACGTCGGTGACCAGCATGGCATTCAACGTGTTAATAATAGAAATAAAATATATGTGTGCAGCTACATGCTATATTTCATCTCTCTTTTATATTTCATCTGCTCTTTTTGTTTTATATTGTATTTACTATTTATAGAATAGTTCTTTAACATTACTAGATTTTTGCAAATTTAATTTATTTAATATATAATAATGTGATAATATTTAGCCATATATATATATATATATATATATATATATATATATTGATATTTTAATAATATAATAATATTGATAAAATTTAACCGAACTAATATTCGATAACGAATTATTTTCAGATTCCGAGTAAGGAGAGCATCGAGTCGTTGTCCGCGCTCGAGATCGCGGAACAGATGACGTATCTAGATCATCACATATTCGTCAACATAGCCAGCGAGTAAGTAACGAATTGCTCGTATATCATATACGTATTTGACTACACAGTTGACATTTACTTCGCAGAGAGTTTCTTGGACAAGCGTGGATGAAGCCGGACAAGGCGACTCGTGCTCCTCATATTCTTCTTATGACGAAGAGATTCAACGAGGTGTCGCAGTTGGTGGTTTCCGAGATTATTCGTCGCTCCGCCATGTCATCTCGGGTCTTGACTATCGAGAAATGGGCCGCGGTCGCTGACATCAATAGGGTTTTGCATAATTACAACGGCGTGCTGCAGATTTGCGCGGCGTTCACGAACAGCAGCGTGTACCGACTGAAGAAAACTTGGGATAGAGTTTCCAAAACGGTATGCTAATCGAAAATTCCTGAATGATTTATAAATCCAACGTCGTATACCGATTCGTGCTCGGTAATTGATTTGCGATTAGATTTAAACTTCTCCAACGTGTCACATATATCGCACTTATAATACACTAAAATAATCCTTTCTGCAACTTTAACCGGAATTTTCTCAAAATTGAGATGCGATAGAACAACTTGGTAAATGCATTTAACATGTCATTTTCAACATAACATCCAAAAAAAAACTACGATTATCTTCATGCTTGTGAATTTTTTTTGTTGAATGGTGTAATAGGACGTTATAATGAACACACGTTCATAAATTATGCATAATTATTATTAATTTTTCAGACGAAGCAGACGATAGAAAGACTACAGCACATCGTCTCATCCGACGGGCGCTTTAGAAATTTGCGAGACGCCTTGCATCGATGCGATCCACCCTGTATCCCTTACTTAGGTCTTTACCTCACCGACCTTTCGTTCATCGAAGAGGGCACCCCGAACGTCACTGACGGTCTTTTAAATTTCTCGAAAATGCGAATGGTGAGCGATACTTCTTCAAATTATTAAAAATTTATATTTTTAATCTTTCAAATTGTATATTTATATTTTAAAGAATTATTAATAATTTATATTTTAAATTCTTTTTTATATCAAATGCTTTAATATGATATAAATATAGGAGCATTAAAGAATTTATTTGAAACCAACGTTATACTGTTTAATTAATGATTTTGCTACTATTATTCATATTATTGAACAAAATTACGAGAGGATATTATGTGCCTTTTCAGATTTCTCACGTAATCCGCGAGATACGGCATTTCCAGCAAACTCCCTATAAGATCGAATTAGTCACTAAGGTAACCAACTATCTACTGGACACGTCGCTCCTGTTGAACGAGAAGGATCTGTATCGTATGTCCTTGGAGCTCGAGCCCAGAACATCCAGGTTGAGTAGTTCTGGCTTGATCGATCTACCCCCTTCGGTCAGCCACGTGTCTACAAAATGAATTCGTTTCGTCCCGATATACCAATATGAAACAACTCGATTCTCCCTTCATTTTACAATGGACGAAAGAGGGAAGTTTACGTTTGAAACAATTAACTATTTATTGCGACCGGCCGATCGTTACGACGATTGCGAGTGCGACTCGCCGTGTTATCAGCCCCGTCCATTTCTGTCCACCCTCGCTTATAACGTAACTTCCGTTGTTCGTTTCAGTTCTACTTACTGCGACATATTTGCGCGAGAATTATAAAAACAAGCTCGACAACGAGCTCCTCGTCGTCGCACAGTATCGGCCTCTGATTCGCGGAAGGAAATTTTATCGTTATCATCATTTAATTAATGTAGCAATTGCAAGAAATGTAGCAAAACTAATTGGATTTCAACGAAACTTCCGTGTTACCAGAACTGCTATCGGTTGTCTTTCAACTTTTTTTCCCCTTTCCAACAGTTATTCTAGTTAACCCTATTTCTACTTTAAATTCTAAGATAACAAATGTACTTCCTATTTCTATCGTAATCCAAAAAGTACTGGAGAGAACTGAACTGAAAAGAAAATTGCAGATTTTAGCAAGAGCATTTAATTGTAACGTGTATAGATTTCAGAAGATTAAATGCGTTGTTGTGTATAAAATCTGCTGAAGAAAATACGAAATGTTAATTAGTAATGAGTGTAGAAAGACTTTCTCGTAACAACATGATTCCGCTTAATCTCTCCGTGTCGTTGATAAAGTAACAATCTCACTCAAAAGTGGTCTCACTCAGTGGTCAGTTTGATCTGTCCGAGAATGACACATAAATATTCCACAGAATATTCCGAATTTTTTACAATAAAATAATGGCTGTCGTTGCCACCAGCGAAATGATTTCGGTGAAGGCAACGTAGAGCCGTCATTGATTTTAGTTTAGCCCAAGCTCAATCGAGCCAGTATTATTGTGTGAGGCATACGAGCAGTTCAAACGAGAGTATGAGAATCGATGAGAAGCGTGAAAGGTGAATGGAAATTGTATTCTGACAATCAATAGCGTTAATGATATCTCTGTTTTCTGTTTGTTCTAATTATTGCTACGAGTATCAAAGCAAAGAAAAACTCGCTTGTCAAACAGCTAGAAATCATTTCGTCCATTTTTTAAATTATATGAAAATATGTTGTGTAATATCTCATTTTCATTAAACAATTTGTTTTATTAACATGTCTTGATATAAAATTTTCGATTCTAGTTCTGATTTGGATATTAATTTATTTAAAATAATATTATTAAAATAATAATATTAAAATAATAATATTAATTTATAAATATTTCAAATATCCAAAAAATAATATAAATTTTAAATATTGAAAATTATATGTATACAAGTTTTCTTTGTTTGCCAAGCGAGAGATAAATCGTATATAAAAAGGTATATATCAATTATACATATCAATTATATTTAACATAATTCCAGATTAATGTCTCTTTCTCGCCCGCCTCTATATTTTTATTCAACATTTATACCAATAGTGACACATGACCAGACAGTTTGAAACCGGGATTCCGTTAACGCACACACCGCACAGGAAAAAAAAGAGGCGGGATCTTAAGCGAAAAAAAAATTTATATACATGTATTATATATATATACACCCATCTATTTTTAGCTTTACGTTTATTAAGAGACTTTCGAGATGCATTTCTGCATCTGCAAACTTAACGTTCCCGCCGTGCAAAGTGCACACACACACGATCTTTCTCAGCTCAAATATGGAAACCACGGGCGTGTACAGATCGCGCGCGTTTCTATTAATTAAATAACGCGAGAGAGGATGTTCTTGTCGAAGTGCCGCCTTTCGAAAAGGCCAGGAGATCGTTGCTCGCGTTTGTATCTTTTAAATTAAAAAGTGCCCCTTAAGGTCGTGCCACGCGGATATCGACATTAGGACGGCGCGTATATAATAGGCATTCCGATCAATCAGGGTTTAATTCTCAAAAATTTACATTCACAGAAACGAGCACGAGACGGCGGCTGTCAAAACGATGTAAAACGATGTTTATATTCTCCTTTCGCAAAGTCTGCGCCCCTCGAAGACGACGTGCGACCAATTAATTAATTGTAAATAGCTCGTTATTCCTATCGAATTATAGCTAATTGTTAAAAGTCGACTCGACTATAATCTCACCGCGTGATCCACGTGTGTATCTTACTCAGAGAAGTAACGCTTACGGTTTGATCTTTCGACATCTGATACTATTGTATCATCTCTAGACGTAGAACAAAAAAAAAAGGAATTACTTCTTAATTTGCACGATTGATCGGTCTTTAAGATATATCGCGCTAAATTGAACTGATCAAATACAATCAACATTGGATAAAAGTCTCTCGTGATTTTTGCTTGTTAGTTGTAGTGTGATGAATTAACCGTGTAAATTACAGGATTTATCAGTGTTTTATTGCGCGATAACGTTAAACGTTTGTCATGACCGTGAAAATTATTTCGGAATATTGTGTAGGATCTTTTTTTTTTTGATAAAACTACGAAGCGTCCAGTGAGAAAACAAGTACTCACCATTGAAAGTTCAAAGATACGGTAGAAAGAAAGAAAAGGTGGAGAAAAGAATTTCGCGGATCAATATTTTGCGGATAATTTTACAATTAGACGGAGCATATCACAATCATTAATTATTAATGCTCTTTAGAATCCGAATATTCCCGTTCGCTCAAGCGCGCGGCTATAAATTTCAGACATTACATGTGATAATTTTCGACTATTCTTATTTGATCGTAAAATTGCATTCAAAATGCTTTTATTTATAGGAACGATTAAATTATGAAATACTTTTATAATTTATAGTTAGAAAAATATTGTCGTATTTCGCGTATCTTACAAAATACAAAGCGAATTTCTTCGAATTCGTGTACAATTGTAGCCAAATTCACTTGAAAGTATTTTGTTTTTTGAAACAATCGCTCTTTCAACGTGATGGGACACGATTGCTTTTGAAACTTTTAAAATTAAAATTTATGCGATTTGTGTTCTTACGATTTCATACCGATCGCATATCGTTCTCTTCCCTGTGATTCTAATATCATCTTCCTCTTATGGCTTCGTTGTTTCCTCGTCGCGAACGATCTAAATTAAAAAGTGGGCAACGCGAAATCTTTTTTTATTAATGCAAAATGGTCTAGTAAAATTAAGAGTAGTAAAGAAGAATTTAAAATATTAGATTTTAAGAATTTAAAATAATAAATTAGAATTTTTTAATTAATAATAGATTTAGTGTAATAAAAAAGAATTCATCAAAAAATTGATATATATATATTAGTAATTAATAAAATGGCTATTTTTAATATGTGGTATAAACTATCTGTGTTTTTCGTGTCATACTCTTCACGAAAAAAAAATCAATATCTAACGTGAACGTAAAACGTCTTTTTAATTAAAAATTTGTACATAATATTTTAATCTTATTAGAGATTGTCGTAATTCGCGAGATATTTTCGGAAAAATAATGTTGTTCGTTTCAAGAAATTGCCTACTTTTTATTAAAGCCTTGTGCCAATTTGAAGGGAGATCGTGCGACGAGTGAAAATCGATTGCATCGACAATCCTCATGAGATGACCTCTAATTAGCGGTGTCCCTTTTTAGATTATGACAATGTTGGAAAAAGAATACTCTGCTAATTAAGTATATGACTAGATTAATAATTGCGATGTCGATGCAGTCGGTCTAAAATGTCAGAAACGAAAAGTTTGTATAATTCAGAGTCTCAACGTGTATATCTGTAGATCACGTCATACAGCAGTCATTTTATTTCGCGAACGTTTACATTTCATTTATAACGGAAGATGGTAGTTATAAGTGTGTTAATAAGTGTCTTTGTTATTATAGAAGGGAAAACTTTTATGTGATGTTGCAGAGATTATTTAGCTAATTTAATTATTAAATAATCGCTATCGTTTAATTAAGATTACTAATTGTTATTGTGCAGAGGCACAAAAAATGTCTTTCCTACGTCGGGGTTTTTTCTGTCAAAGTGCCAACAAAGTTGCTATTCTGGGCACCTATTTACAATTCCGATCGAAAATGCGAGCTTTCGACTAGCAAATTTTGCAATCGGCTTATTGCCGTTGCGATAAAATAAATAGCGACGATTTTCTCCGATTCGCGGAGAGGCTTCCACTTCGATTGCGTTTTTCGTCAGTTATTCTGTCGTATTCAGACAATATCCAAAAAAAAATAAACAAGAGAATTTACGCGGGAGCAAGGGAGATCGAATGCAGTTGCGAAAGTCTTTACGTAATAATGAATATTGCTTGTTTCGTCGCATAGATGGTGAGAAGGATCGATTTCGCACTTTGCTAGCCGAAAAACTCGTAATTCGATTGGAACCGTAAATAGAAGGAGTGCCCTGCTTCGGCGATCAAGCTCCAAGTGTACCTTCAAACGTTCTAAATATCTTGTTCAGAAGAAAGAAAAAAAAAAGAGAAGTTGCGATCTCTTTATTACTGACGCACTTCCGCACGTACCGTACATATACTCGTATTTACTCGCGGCACGCCGTGAATAATCCTCACGTGAGCGCTATATATAGACATCGATATGTGTCACATACACTTCCTTGTACATAACTCTAGTTACATATTGAACATGCATTGCGCTAGGCAGCCATTATCGTTGTTGATAGATCTCACTGTACGAAGGATGATGATTATCGATTGACGCGATTTACTATTAATGTCACGCCAAAATGTAGCATCGCGTTATCGTGTAAGTAAGATCGTATTATTGTATCCGAGACAGACGGATGAGGTGGCTTTAAGATCTCTCCGTGCGCGTTCCCGCAATTAGAATGAAGGAAAAGAAAAGACACACCAGTACCTATCTAGTATAATCTTGTGCCATATTATCGCGTATATTAACGGAGCAGCGCGATGCTCCTCCTGTCGACAATTGTACCTTTAAGCTATCGATAATAATCATAGGACAACAGCTTACCGAATATAGCATGTTGGAATGGTGGCAAGATTTGCGCTCACGATTGCCCCCAAGAATTTCTGGAATCTATAACCTGATTTTCGTGTGCAAATTTATGAATTTTCATTAATCAGCCGTTGAAGAACGGTTGAATTCTTCGGTTCCAATAGGGAGCTCAGTCTTGCGTCCCGATTTATAATGCAAAAAAAAACAAGGGCTCACGTTTGATAAAAGCATCGTCGAGAAAATGTGACTAACGCGTCTAACATATTCAAACGATCGCAAAAACAACATTAATAACGAAAGGATAGTTCAATATTGAAAAAACTAATTTTGGCCCTCGAATAATCCTGCATTGAAATTTTAAAGACGAATCTTAAAAAAAGCCACTTTTCGAATCGAGTTACTTTCTAAAATTATCAACTTGGTAGCAATCATCGCATATTTTGTATAATGTAAGTATTAATCTGGACATAGTGTTAGTCGAGTTAAGCGTTACAGTAAATGCGCAGGAAGCACACTCATCACTAATTCTAATCACGATTCAAAACCTTTCAACCTTCTGTGAATGTAATCGTCGTTGATAACTATGATATAATAACTTGCTACGGCTAGTTGCGGGTGCTGTAAGCAGTACCGTCTTAACCAAAGTTACCTCATTTCTTAATGTCGAACGCGGCACTATAGAGAGTTGTCTGTTCACCTCTTCGATTAAAATTATCCTCGCGGCTACGACGTAGAATTAAATCGGTCCGACTCGTCAATTTGCGACAGTATATATCTACAATGCTACACACGTATTTCACGCAGTAATCTCTTTCAACACGATAAGATCTACCCTCCCGTGAGACCAAACGAAGAAAAGTGAAAGAATTACTTATACCGGTAAATGTAAGACAGAAGAGAGCAAGACTTGTAAAAATCTTTAACCGTTTCTCCATTATGCACAAATTAATGACGCAGATGCAGAGGCAACGTAGAGTAGTTTAACGACAGAAATCACATTCCGAGTTACTATTCTTTTTTCAAGAAATATTTGAATATTCAATATTCAATAATTAATTTAAAATCCACCAATCAAATCATTTCTAGAGAATATTTCTAAGAATAAATTAAAAAAAAATCGCATATATTTACGTATATAAATAAATGTTTTGATCATTATTTGTTATCGTTACGTTCACATACATACGGGCGCGGAATTCTTTTTGGTCCATTCCCAGTTATACGGGTTAAGTGCGTACAAAAGGTTAGAGAGATTCGCGATAGAAAGGATTTTT